TGAGGTTATTTTGTTGGGTCTTGCGTCACCAACAGGTCATTGTCACACGGTGAAGTGTGCACTTCACTCAGCTACCCACCCTTAAAAACAAAAAGGTTCCAGCACACTGGGTGGGCTTCATTGAGAACTTTACATAGGATTTGTTGGACTGGATTATCTATAGGTCATCACCGAATTGATCGATTGAAGATACCCAATCCCAGCAGCGTGTCTTTTAACTAACCCCCATCACAAGGAACTTTAAGCACTTGCAGGTCACAGCACTAGACTCTATCATCGCATTCTCTCCAGACTCCCACTTTCATCTACTTTCCCAAAAACAACACCTTCACGTGCTCCTACTCACTGCCAATGATGTCCTTTCGGGAGTCATCAAGGGGTCGGTCTGGTACCATATCACATACTTCAGGGATCTTCAGGGTGTGTATAGTTACCCCTCTTTTTGAATCAATTGTAAAAGCCCAACGTCCAAACGTTCATGCTCAATGGCCCACTCCCCAAAAGCACATGCAATCGGTCGACCAACCCGAGACACGTCGCCGAGTCGCCGACTGCTCCCGCCCACGTCGGCTGCAGAACCGCTGTCCGGTCCGGCCGGCGGCCGTGGCCGATCGCTCCGTTCGTCGCGATGCCCTTGGGTTCCTATAATAGCGATGCCCTCGGCTCCGTTCGTAAGGCCACCGGTCGCCCCCGTTCTGTCGTCGCGTCCGAACGCTCCGCGGCGCTCACCGCGCCTTCTTGTCGGCGAAGGTCCCATCGAGCTGCGCCCGGAGCACGTCGCTCGCCGAGGCCAAGAGCACCCGGTGGGCACGAATCGACTCGCTGCCCAGGTCCACGGTCAAATCCTCGGGTGCAAACGGAAAAAGAAAGCCGCCAAGACATGGCTTCCTTCAGAGCACTCGAAAGGAATTTCCGTTATAATTGGTGGTCCCCCAGCCTTTGGACTTCTAGAGTGAACAAACAATAACAAACACATTTGGATGGTTTGGGGTGGGTGTCCTTAACCTGTCTGCAATCTGTATCCAACGTTGGCCCGGCCTTTTTCTGCAACACCGGCCGTCTTTCAAAATACCTTCTGCTACTTTGCTATTCATTTTTGGCATGTGCTTTTTTTGCCTATTTTTTGACCTTCTGTAGCAGGTCACACATGTCACACTGGCTTTCACAGGTCGCTGCCTTCGTGTCGAATGGTGACAGCTCACCAAAGATTGATGACGGACTGGCATCATGTGCCGAATGTGGTGCTTCAGCCAGAGGCATCATTTAAAGCTTTAGCCGACTGTAGAGCTGGTGAATATGCGCCAGTCGAAGACATGAGCAACTTGATGGTCATTGTCACTGTACCAAGCATGCAAACAGCTGAGTCAACGCTCTCACACACTTACAACTTGTTTTGGTGGTTTAATCACTGAAAAGTGGTTCTCGCCGTTTTCGCACACTCTCCTAACCTCGTACCTCGTCTGGAGTCACTCAACATGTTGCAAACAATTATATAGTTTCACAATGTTTCCCTCTGTTGGCGCATTGGCATTGTTGGCTCATTCCTTTGACAGCTTGACCATTCAATACCATTCATGCGATCCCTCACAAGCACATAGAATCCTTGATTAAAGCAAATCCAAAGGGTAACATGATTAAATCTCGCACAGGGGTCCCCGCAAGCCCTATTCACTCCCCTAATTAATTTGGTCCAACCCACCTCTGACAACTTGCTTTTGATAAAGAAGCAACGAAGAACAGATTCCTCCCCGTGTGAAGAGGAATTGTCAATAGTCCTTGGGATCCCTCCACAAACAAACCCTTGGGGTGGTTCCAAACCCTTGGGGTGGTTCCACATCGTTTGGATCCCTGACCTTCTGACCTTCTGCTGATTGTTTTGTCTCTCACCAACATTGCATCCATCGGAGACACAAGGGCATTCTGCGCCAACTTGGCACTATGCCAAGTCTCGTCACCATCAACTAGACAAAAGGTCTTTGGGAGCGCTTGTTATTCATGCGTCGACATTCTACTATATTGCATTTCAGATCCTGATTTGGAATCGCAAAAAGTGCAAGGGGAGGATGTCTATAAATGGGCCATGATGGCCCCACTTCTTAGTCTCACATGTGTTTTGCCCTTTTCAGTCTTCAACCTAATCAAACTGTTTGATGGCTCACGCTTCAGATTGCTGGTTGTCCGGGTTGTGCAAGTCAAGTGAGCCAAAAGCACCTGCATTTTTGGTTCTTTTGTCAGATCCTCAATTGAAACCCTGAGGATCGAAAGTTAGCTCTATATGCTAACATTTGGGGTTGTGTCTTCTGGGGCTCTCCGACCGCACCCTGTGAGGTCCGACCTCAAAAATCGAGATCATACCAGAACCCAAAAACCACAAAACCAACGATCCCAAATCACGGCCCGTCACGGGTTGTCACGCTGGAGTCCGACAATGACCTCATTTTTAAAGGGGAAAAATAGACCAATCACGGTCTGTCACGGTTCGTCACGCCCTGGTATGCTTGGTTCTTGGGATTTCATGGTCTTATCCTCCGACAATGATACTGGAATTGTATATACATTTCAGGTACCCCAATCTGTGATTCGACAACGTCTTCAAATAACACGATCAATAGAAACGTATGCATATCCTGAGATCATTTCTATTTGTGACCTATGTGTGGTCATGGATCGTCAGGGAAATAAAACATGTAAAGACAATAGACAACCTGCTAGACAATAGACAACCCAGTCTAGCTTGTAGTCCACATACCACAGCCCAAAAAGGGGCGGGGTAAACGACACAAACACGACGACGGGCTTACAAACAAAGGTCATTACCAACCAACAACCCACGTGACATCCACTCAAACCACGTCAAGCCGGCTTGCGTGGGTTGGATGAGCTTGGTGCTGGCCAAGCCCAACCACCCGCGCGCCGATTCACGGCTTGGGGTTGACCCGGACTGGGCCCCATTCGCGCCAAGGGACTGAGAACTTCCCACTCTTCAGCATCAAGGTTAAGCCTGACTCAAAAAGCGTCACTCAGAGACTTGTTGTTGTTGGCAATCCAAGAGATGAAAAGATACTATTTTAGGAGGGCGGGTCCTATGGAACAACCGTGAACAACCAAAACGACCAGAAAACAAAGGGGAGAACCATGGAGAACCTGGGACCATGTGCGTTCGGAAGCCCTTTTTACTTGAGGAATTCTCGGTCACACTCGTCGGTGTGGTCAGCGGGACCTGTCGGGTTTTCGCGACAGTGAACAACACAACTACACAACTGTATAATGGATATCATTTCTAACATGTCAAACAAAGGCACGAAAAGAAGGGCGAACCAAGGGCCCAAGCTTGCCCCATGCAAACATCCATAAAAAAATCGAATCCAGCCAAAGATCTGTGACACACGCAGGCCTGGAATCCCAAGGATTTCCCACTCAATCCCCACGCTGCCCATGGGCGAAGCCGGTGCAGCCGAGGAACCGCCAAAGTCATTCCTCGGTGCCGACCGCGCGGGTCCACGCGGGTCCACGCGGGTCAACGGTGGTCCACTTGGTACGATCCACTGACGAGCCATGTCACAACCGGTCTGGGGACCCTGGAAAAGGGGGTCAATCTATACAGTACCCGAGCCCCGCTTTGGAGGGCCCAAGGTAGGCATGTGCAAGTGGGGCATGTTGTTCCATGGAGAGTCTGGGTATGGAACGAAGCATCCTTGAAAAATCTAACGAAACATCCTTGAATCTCCCAATCCAATGACTGGATGATGGTAGACCCCATCGTGTTGGCTCGAGACTTTGCGAAAGATAAGTGGTCATAGGAGAACAAAAAGAGCGAGAGAGAGAGAGAGAGAAACAAAAAAAGGACTTCGCAGATTCAACATAAACAGCCAAAGTCCAGTACGAGTACCCTCACTGCCAGGTCATTCGTTGAGGGTTTGTTGTGCCCGTACCCAGTTCGAAGCATTGGTGATCTGTTCTGTCCGCACGTGGAGGATGTGCATCACAAGTGGTTCTGCACTGTACCAAATCCTGCCGCGCGACTGGCTGATCATACACTGACTAGATACTGTAGCCCCTAGTTCTTGAGATGAGGTCAGCACCTGTCTCTTTGATGTTCCTGGGTGTCTGAAGCCCGTTGTTTCTTCCTCGGGAAAAGAAGTCCTCAAGTCCTCCAACAAAGTGAAGGTCAACCACTGTGGAGCGGTGCAGTAGGTCGTTATGAAGTTTTGTTTGGGGCAACATCAACCATCTTTCACTAGCTCAGAGTCGGAATGATGGCATCGTGCGCCACTTCCACACAGGCACGCTTTGTCATGGCAGGCAGAAACGTTCGGACGCGTGTCTGCGTGGGTCTCACACTCTGATGCGATGTGAGATGCTGTGGATGTGTGAACTCAACAGCTAGCTCAAATTACCACACTCCTTGACTTGATGGAACACAATATGTTTCAGTGAGGTTCCTGAACTGGCACAAGGGTGTCAAGCAAATCCCCAATTATCCTTGGTTCATGAACGCATGCTGTGTCTTGTAGGTCTATCTGTGAATCTCCAGAGTCTTCAGGCTTCAGAGTGAATCCCCAGAGGGCTTGACAGCATATATAAGCTAGGAGTTCTTAGTTTTCCAAGTCATTCAGCTTTTTGTGTGCGCATTTGTAGGTGGCAACATGAGAGACCAAATGTTGAAACATCCTGAAACCATGCTGCATGGTCGAGAGACCACAGGTTAGCAGGCCTGTAGAAGGGCTGAGCCAGCCAAGAAATCGGTCGCTTCCTTCGGTAGACGAATGACTATATTAGTAGACTTGTGCACCTCAGCCAATCTATTTGTCACTAGATGCAAGCAAAAGTAGATGAGTTGACACAGTGACATGACCTAGCCATATTTCCATGGGAACTTCCAACAATTCTACGATCCATCATGATACATCGACCCTGAATGCCACACTCGCATGTTGCTCTTCGAAGAAAGGCAGGGGGCCCCATCCTGTGATGTGTGTCGACGATGATTCTGGGGGCGCCTCGAGACACATCTGCTCCAAGCCAAAGGAACGCAGCTCGGGGGCAGATAGGAAGCCTCAAAGACGATCACACACATAGCATGAGCGCCCTCATTCAATGAACATAGCAAACAGAGTCGTGGAGGGTTGCAAAAGCTTTCCTCCAGAAGGTGGTTGCATGTGGTTGCTATGTTGGGAATTGGCGGACAAGAAAAACCTCAAAATCCAAACATGTTGGTGGAAAACTGCGGGCGACCGACGGCCTTGGGAAACCTCTATGTTCGAAGGACAGGCTCGTTCACCCCGTTCGTCCATCAAAGCTGTCCGACGATGATGTTCGCCCCGTTGCAGACGGAGTGTTTCGGTGCCAAGGAGTCTACAGAACTGACCCACCCTGAAGAAGGTTGCCCTTCGAGGCCTGCAACAGTCTCACGCAACTCCACCAGATCAGGATCCACCGATATCCATAGACCGTCTGGGTGTTTCCATAAACTGGCTATTCTTGTCCAAACATGCAAAACACAGAACAACAACAAACGCATATATGCGTCTTATGTATATATGTATATAGTCGATTGAGGGATGTTCACTGTTCACCAACCATGGGTGCCACAGGTTACTTCGCCAAGTCCAAACCCCAACAACTCTCGAGCCATATCCACATCATTCCACATCCGAGATGCCATCTTGGTCAACGTCCAACTTCTCCTAAGTGGACTGCAGATCAAAACTCTTCGGAAGCACTTCTATCTGCATCTCCCCAAAATGGACTCAGCCCCAGACTGGAACTTTTTAGGACATTCGGACCACTAGGACCGGGCTTCATTTGGGAGGATCTCCGGCAGGGGGGAGCAACTTTGATTCACATGAGACAAAGAAAAGAACTTTGCATGTACGAGTACAAGGAACGCAAGCCAAGATGAATGAAACAACTTTTTCTTAACTAGAACAATGAAACCACGTGTATGCCTAACACTTGGGTCTGGTAGCTCCTGAAAGAACTATAGCTATAGACATGATGGCAAATCATTGTCGAACCAAACAGTTCACTGATCGGTTGGATCATGCAAACGCTATCCATCGGATGTCCCAAAAAATATCTTTGGCCGGTCAGTTGTGCTCCAATGTGAGTTTGACAAGAACTGCTGATTGCCCATCAGTCTTCTTCAAAATGCCACATCAAGCAATCATGTGGGCCTGTGGGTCTAAAAAGTTCAAGCTTCCCACCAATGGAGTTGCTTTATGTGCTGGTCTGCTGATGTTTTCAAGGTCCTCTTGATCCTCTCTACAAATTGCCTAATTTCTCACATACACCAGGATCACAATCTCCCCCAGATTCCTTTGGACCATAAAGGATGAACCATTATGAACCCTTTTCAACTGGTTTGTGTTGTTTCTATTCTTTCGTGGCCTCAAAAGGGTTTTGCAGGTGATCCACATGTGTGTGTATCTTGACAAGGAGATCCCGGTCTGTTTCCCTTCCGTCTTTCGCGGGGGTCGGTCTTCCTGTTTTCCTACACAAGCACATGTCCACTTGTCCTGGGTAGAGTCACCAGGATAAAGGAACCGACTCCATCCCGCAGTTTCGCGCATAGAGCCAAGGCTCGAAGAGCAAAGCCGTTTCGCGTGCGCGTTCCTGGTCGCCGTAGTGGTGGATCAGCGCCTGAGCAAAAACAGCGCGAGGTGAAAAGAAGGCGTTTTGTTTGGTGTTTTGTTGAGAAGGCAAATGAAACGGGTGAACCAGCGTGTAGCCGATGGTGGCTGTACGCAAGCTGGCCGACCTGTTTTGGGGTAGGGACACTACAAGACGTGTCTTGTGTGCGAGACATGTCTCCGACTTCCCAACTAAGCTCAATGTGATTCGATGTGATTCGTCTGATCTGTCGGCCACATGGGCCGCTTTTGTCTCGGTCGGTGCTCGTCCGGTTGAGGGCGGTCAGACGGTGCGACCTGCACGGTGCGACCTGCCGGACAAAAGGCGTCACTCCACGTCGCATGTCGCCTTGTTGTGCGTCTTTCGAGATGGATTCTTGGGTGTTCAGCCAGACTTTGAGTGCGGAAGACGCGACGGAGGAATTCACGCATGAAGACTTCGGCTCATCAGCAGCAAGCACTTCGATGACAGCAACATGGTTCCTGAAGTCGGTACAGAACAACGAATTTGGAGCGCCATAAGATATCATGTAAATTCATATGGGGACTTCCTCCCGTCTGCCGAAGGATAGTCGAAGGAAAACCATGCAATTCTTTGTTGCAGTATAGACTCTTAGACATTCTAATATGAAAGTCTAGTTAGTCTAGTTGCTCCAACTTGGAGCAAAATCGCCCCACCTCAAAGAGGTTCTCGTCACTGGCAGGACAGCCATCTTCACCTGACACATCTGCACCGATGGGTCTGGCACAACCAAACTTCCATGCTCCCAATGCCACGTATAACAAGGTCCTGCCTGTAGTAAGGAACAATAGATTTCTGTTACTAGAGTTTTTTTGATATAATATACAGTAGCATTTGGAACAAATTGGAGACAGTAGAAAGGGAGCAACAACTGGTCTTGGAAACCAGTCGGAACAAATCGTATCTACCACCTCACGATGACGGGGTTGCTTTGGACTTCACCAAGTCGCCGGTCAGTGGCTGATGCTTAGGACTTGCACTGCTGTCGGTTTTTCCCCGTCACTCGAGGCCAGGCGGCCTGGTTCCAGATTCCATCCCCCAAACGAACGATCAACGAAGTCCAAACATGTCAAACTCCATCCACCCAAACTCTATCGTCAACGAAGTCAATCCATGGGTTGAACACACATCCAACGAAGAAGGTGGAAACGTGGGATGGCCTTCCGGCTTAGCTGGTGTTTCACCTCTACACCCTCGTGAAATCCTCACCTCCAAGGGGGGCCAAGTTAAATCGATTCGAGTGGATTGAGAGTAGATGGCACAAGGACCCCCAGATGATGCATATATACAGTATAACCCATGGACCCCCATAGGTTAAGAGATCTTGGTTTTGGGTGCCCGCTCTGAAACCACAACTATCCATCGCCCCATCGCCCCACCATGATGGACCCGCAGCACTTGTGCTCCACCAGGCTGCTGTCCAAGAGCCGGGTGAAGTTACGCAAGTCGAAGCCGCTCTGCCTGGGTCGGCCACGAGGGTCGTTCGGCCGAACAAGTGGTGTCTCGACTGAAGTGAGCTGACTCAACTGGTCTTGGGATGCTTTGGGAGATTCTGGGACATTGATATATATATATCAGAATTAGGTTCTGCTTTTGTTTTGGAAACCACAATTCCACTCACCTTGGACCCTAGTTTCCTTCAGAAACTTTGGGATGTTCTGAGATGGCATGCGGCGTGGATGTCCTTCTTTTGTGGCATTCCCACGTCCTCAAACAACTGGGAAGGATAGGACATGAGAGGACAGTGCTTGGTCTTGGTGGGTCACACCCAGTATAGGTTGCGCATATCCTCAGCAGTTTTTGTCCAACAGTAATTTTGAACCAAACTCTGTGATTGCGAGGATGGCACATGAAAGGAACCAGGGGTTTGTGTTTGGATCTGAGGTCTGAGGTACAGTTGAACATGGAAATTGCACATGGTAAACATCTAAACGTAAAACAAAGAAAAACTGCGCACAGTTTCTTCCAGCATGAAAAGGCTTTCGGAGGCTGACCCGATGGCAAACCCGTGCCGCACGACCTCTGCGGTTCGGTGCCCGAGAGGCGGAGAGACGTCCATGTCGCCTCGGCGACCGGTTCACGAGCGTGGTGTCTGGTTCGGCGTGTTCCAAGAGGGCCAAGTGATGAGATGGTGTTGGGCTATTCTAGCCTGGTGAATTTACAAACACATCCATCCATGGGAGGTTTGGCCAGCAGTTGACTTGTGCTTGAGCTAAAACAGTTCCATTAGCGAGAAAAGGACACACAGAAAGCAGCATTGAAACGAGTGTGCCCAACATGTATAAGGACTGCAAGATCAGTATACATGGCTGATGGTCAAACATCGCAAAGCAAGAAGGTGTGTCCTGCAAAAAAAAGTAACACACCCAGCTGTAGTGCAAACATGTGCAAACTAGTCTGAGGAAACAACACAATCAAATACATTTTTTTTAAAAAAAACTACAAACAAAACACCTAGATGCCCTGCTTCGGAGACACATCGTGCGTCTCCCTCCCGTCTTCGCTCCCGTCCGACCGCCCAGTTCGTCGCTTTGCACCGTCCAAACCACCGTGGAATCGGCGGGCGCGCCAGGGGGCGACAAAGATCCTGGTACTCCATGGCCCAGTCGTCCTCGCCAAAGTTGAAGCCCATGAGGCCTGAACCGATCTCTGGCTGTGTTCGTCGATGAACCCAAAATTGCTGGACGCCTGATGATATATATATATATATATAGATTCCTCCAAAAGGGAGGTCAACCGAAATCAATGGTTTTGTAGGGTGAGGTTGCCATGCATCATGCCCCATCATGACCCACACCCATCTTGGGGGTCCGGAGCTGATAGGGTCGAGAGAGATCGATCGAGAGAGTGGGGAAGGTTGGCGCTGACAGGCTATTGGTGGAGCTGATGGAGGTGTCTATTTTCAAGAGATAACAGCTTAGAGTCTACGGAGTCTAGTGGTCTGGTGTCTGGTGGAATGATTTTCAGGTGAGAATTAGGTGGATAGATGGGTTCCCAAATTGAAAGATGCATCATTCCAAGCTAGAGGATGTACCACTTAGAGGATGTTGTTTTTCTCCTAGAACCTCCAAACAATACGTATAGCCGGACACAAGAATTTCACCTACTTCTAAGTGCACTTGGCAACGCCACAAATGCGTGGAAGATGTGCTCAGGTCCCGGATGGAGTAGACCCAAGTGGGCCAAGGCACGCGCTAGGCCGATGAGCTCCTGCTGCTGCAGTTTCCCATCACGGTCATTGTCCAACATCCTGCGATGATCGCTCAGTTTCCCTCAAAATCCCTCAGGTGAAGGTTTGCTTCGGACTCCAAAACCCTGCAAGTTCTAGAAATACCTTGGACTTGGACAATCCATGGACCCTCCAGAAGTGGTGTCCTATGGCTTTGGATCTTTGGGTTGCCCCTCAAGACTTCGCCGTCGAAACGGCGGGTCGGTGGAGATGTCGAGCTGTTGAGCTCCATCTGGCGAGCTCGACTGTGGGTCAGATGATGATAGCTGAAACGACTTTTCATGTAAGCTATTGTAAACATCATAAACATCACGCAATCATCGTATTTCTCCAATGTGATTCAATTAATGCAGCAAAACATTCACCTGCATGGGCTGCAGATCCAACCTGTCGTGTAATTAACTATATATTAATAAGATGATCATCCTTTATGCAAAATGAATGAAGATAATGTTGTTCTGAGCAAAGGCATGGCATGTGGTCGCAGCACAAACACTTATGTGCGCACACCACTTCAATAGTATCTCATCACACACTTTCAAACAAAAGAAACACATCCTAAGCTAGGAGCAAGGGCATCGCTACTAGTAACAAGGGGCATTACTACTAGTAGCATTATTGCTATTAGTAACAAGAAGCTACTAGGGGCTCCTGGCCGTACTACTAGGAGCAAGAACGCTATTAGTAACAAGAAGCTACTCGTAACAAGACCCTCAGGTCGCCAGGTGGGACGGCCGTCCCCGAACGGTGAGGGCGGCCGTCCCGGGGCGCCACACTGCCAGGCGCAGGGCGCCACAGCGCAACACACCAGAGAATAGAACACACACAAGGTGGTTGCCACTTACCGATACTCCCCAAGAGTCAGTAAAAATCATATCAACATTAACACAACCACATACAAACTGCATTGAAAAACATGCATTACAACCAAATCAACACCTCGATGGCGCCTCCAACCTCTGAAACCTCACATCTTCCTTCGGCCTACCGCCCCGATCCCCGTCTCTCACGCCTGAAGACCTGCAGGATCAGCCACCTTCGATGCTTCGACTCCGCCGTCGCCTCGGAGAGGCGTTTGCTGCGGAGGCGACGGCGGAGAGCTGGTGGAGACGAGACCCCGGTGAAATGAACAAGTGATTGTCTGTTCATCAATGTTGGTCACATGTGTCCGAAGTGGATCCCATATATCACATTGCACTGCCCAAACACACCGGTGTCTCATACTTGCGTGGAATCAACGCAAGGCGCTGCATCATCCAGGTATACAACTTCATTGGACAACAACAACAACACGACAAGAACTCCAAGGATTTGAGCGGACTGTGCGGACATGCTTGTGAAGTTCCGAAAAGAAACATCTCCAACTCAAGACTTCTCGTGTGGACCTGTCCCGGTGACAAGGCACCACCCTCTGCGGAGATGGTGTTCTCGGGTTCGGTGCGGGTGGCCGCTGCTGTGGCGACCGCTGTTGCGGCGAGCGTTGCGGTGGCGACCGTTGCGGCGAGCGCGGTGGTGAGCGCAACGGTACTTGGAGAAGCTCACGGTGCATGTCGCTCAACCTGGCTTTGGGCTGGTTGGAGCAACTGAGAAAGTTGGGCAATTGCATTGGCTGCGGGTTTTAACCTCATCTTTGGTATAAGTTCTCTTGCATCAGGGTTGTAGGTCTTTGACAAAGCGATTTTGAGGAAGGGACGTACGTATTTCAGTATGTATGACCTGTACTGGCCAAAAGACAGTGTATAAAGGGATGAAAAAAAACTCAAGATCAAGCTCACGTGGCGTTTGCCCTTGCTGAAGGGTGGAGACAAATACACAAAGGCTGGAACCCCTAAATATCTTGGATTTGCTTGAGGACCCTTCGCAAAAAAATAAACATATTCGCCAAAAGAGGGATTTGCCCATAGAGTAGAAACAATTGCCCTTTGCAAAACCAACTTAATTTAAATATGTATATATATAATATGAACATTATCTTATATGTCATGTTGGACAGTTGGACCATGTTGGACCTATCCTTGTTCCGTGACTCTAGTTCGACCAAATGTCTTCTTGCACAGACCAGTCTTCCCACGGCAGCGAGGATAACGCGGGAGAGTTGCTGGATCCTCAAAAACACATATTGAAAAAGAACGGGTCATGGGAAGACTTGAACGGTAAATCTGTTTGAATCGAGTTGTAATGGTCCTCTCCCAGTAAATTTCCGTTGAAAGGGAGCTTGTAGATCCCAGAACCCAGGTCCGGCAGAAAGGCTCCGCCGAGCCGGGATCCTTCCACAGAATCGAGGCACGAGGAGTGGGAGCCGGTGGCTTTAAACCAAGAAATCCTTAAGCTGTGAGGCACGGTCTGAGGAATCACCCAACAAAGCAAAATTAGCCAGGTAGGTTCAGTACCAAATAGGAGGACCCTCGGAACCATGAAGATTGCTTTCTCCATCAAACAAACACCATTCAGGCTCTGCTCAGGCTCCCGGAAAGAACCGAGTTTTCGCCTCTCTTCTGCTCCGAACCCTCCCTTCATCGGCCTGCTCTTCATCTCCTGTTCGGTGCGACCGACCGGGCCGGGCCCAAAACGGCGCCAACCGGTGCACTGCTGCAGGAGTCACAGGAATGGCCAAGTCCAGAAACCTGGGACGCACTAAGTAGGATGCGAAGTAGGTGGCTTTTCTGGAATGGACCATGGACATCCATGGACCACGGAAAACAAGATCCAAATACATGACCCGTGGGTCAAACCGCCACGTCTACACCTCACATCGTCTCCGTCCCCCGACCGATGTCTCCTGCTGCTCCAGTTGCATCGCTCTGAAGGTCTCGGAGGCCGTGCTCCGTTGCTGTTCCTGCCCACGGGGCCGCCCAGCCGGCGGAAGTCAGGGACGAAGCGACCTGCAAATTCGATGATGTTGTTTTGTTAGGAAAAAAAACAACAGGAAGCCATCAAACCTGGTGGAACCTGGCCCAAGGCCACATGCCGAAAAACCAAACAAAAACGTACGCGGGTTTGAAGATTCCGAATGGTCATGCTGGTGCATGCTGGTTATTGGAATTCGCACTGCTTCAACTCTGTACGCCATTACAAACATATATATATAAAATCCCAATTAGTTCAACGACTGTGTCTACTCTACTTACTATGGCCTTGACAACCTGAGATGCCTTGAGATAAATCTGGCCTATGAGATAAATCTGGCCTAGTTCGCACCCCAAGCAATTCTTCGAACATATGCTGTTGCTGTGTTGCCTCGTGTTTGTCCCGGTCCTAGTGGATCCCACTACTTTGCCTTTCGGGAAGCAGCAAGAGACTCGAGGTCTAGGCCTCTATAGTCTTTGGAACGACTCCTGGTCTTTACAGTGTCTTTACTATAAGGCTCCTTAAATGTTCATTGAATCCACTCAATGTGTCTTTTGATTTCCCAATATTTCCAACATGTTTCACACTTCTCAGCCTGTCGGCAAATCCCACTCCTGGATGGAACACAATTGTTGCAGCTGCTGCCTCGGCCGACACCCGTGTCGAGATGCATCGAGCAAGAGCGCACCAGCCCGCCTGAACCAGCCTTGTTGGCAAGAACTGGTATATTTTTCCAGTCCCATGGAGCCTCTGAGATAGTGATCTCTGATGATCTCTGATGATCTCTGATCTCGGGAACGGTGTTGAGTGATCTAAATCGGTCCGGAGAATCGGCGGCGCTTCTTTCGCTTTGTCTGGCACGCAGCACGGACGGCGCAGCATCCCGAAGTTTGGCGGTTTCTATGGTGGTTTGATATCTGGACTCCCATCTATATCTAAGGACTCCCAGTTCGGGGTCGCCAAGGCATGCGAAATTGCCAGCAATCCGTGGGGCGCAAGGTGAAGTTCAACCATCGAAGAAAGCGCTTGCGGGCAATCTCTTTGCGGAAGCTGACGGGATTTGGAAGACCATTTCTTTGAAGAAGTGGGGGTGCATACAAAACATTAAGTCCAAGATTTCATCCTGGACACATATTTGCAGCTTAGTAATACATGTTGAGATAGTCTGAGATCTTCAGTAATGTAATGAGATAGAAGATCCTACCTAAAGCCAATTAAATGCAGCTAAGCATCTGCTGCTGGTGCTGCAAAAGGCTCAGCGTTTGATAACACTCCTTGGAACGAAATCTGATCATTTTAACGGAGCTGCCTCGACATCCAAGCAACCCTTTTGCAATACAGGGACTTCAGAGTAAGTCAGTATGTATTAGAATAATTAGAGAGACCCTCCCACCACTTGATGAGCTGAGTTATGCATATGTTTCCTGCTCCCAGGTGTCTTTCCGGTCTCCCTCTTTCGATATGCATCGACAAAAAGTGATGCTTGTTAGCCATGTTCATCAAACGCTGTAGGGTTAGCTGCGGATCGAAGTACCAAGTCCAATCTTTTGTGGCAGGTGTCCGTTGATCAATGATCACTCCGTTTTAAACCTTTTGAATAGTATACTAGGCTTCCCGGTGAAAGCAGGACCGCCCACACGGTCCCAGGTCTCCCGGTGGTAGGATTCGAATTACGGGCTTATACGGGTTGTAAGGAGTTTGAAGGACTCAAGAAGCGCAACCTCTTGGTCTAGCCAAGAGAATTCCACAAGATGCTCTATAAATGTCTATTGTTTTTATAGATCTGGCTGGAAGCTGTGATTGATCAAGAGGGGGAACCAGGACCAACATCCGCAAAACATCACCAAGACTCTGAGAGCTTCTCTTGTTGTTGCTCCTGCGATTTTGTCATGGACTCCTGGAAGCTCTCCATGCCCCGCTCCATGGACTCTACCGCCAAGAACCACCTCCAAAGCGAAAATGAAAACACGCTTCGGTTGGGAATGGGGAGTCGGGGCAAAAAAGATCAAAAAAGTATATGAAATCATGTGTACCAGTACCTTCCAACTGATCTTTAGTTGAGGGTTGGGCCCAGAGAGGTCCATGACCTGTCCGAGGGTCCAGCATTCCAGTGCAAGGATGTCTCATTCCACTCCACTTCGTTTGGCTGAAGAAAGGCCTGTTACAGGGGCTGGCCCAACGGGCTAGCAGCTCGCCATGTGATACAAAATTAACTAGTTTGGCTTGTGGTTCGTACCTTCCTTTCTGGGAGGGGGGGGGCATGTCATCGGACGAAAATATTCCAATTATGCTAGTTCCAGAACTTCACCGAGGACCTTCAAACCTGACCTTGGAGTTTCACTAAGTGACCTTGAAAAGGCTTTCGGGGACCTCATTGTGGGATAGGCTGCTTCTGGTTCTATTGGGGTTCACGTGGGCCACAGGAGAAGAAATGAAGGTCCACTGCCCTGATCTAAAAGCACCCGGCCGGCACCTTCTTCTAGATCGTAGTTTTTTATGGACAATATGTCACAGTGATGACCCCGTTATCATTGGTTTTTGTCTTGAAGATGTGTTCGATTGGCGTTTCATCAGCCATCTGAACTCAATTGGTTCCCAACCTCGATGACGCCAGGCCGCAATCAGTGCCCTCCAAGCCTTGACTCCTCGGTTTCTTCCACCTTTTCAGCCTTCTCCGCCTCTTCCAAGCCTGGATTGCATTTTTCCCGAACCGCTGTTTTTCCGAGCCGCTGGCGGAAAACAGCAAGTCTGGAGGTTGGATTCCGGTGATCTGGCTGGAGAAAAGCAAGACCTCAACCTACCAGGAGTTTCACGTTGATCACCTCTTTGCCACCCATTGCCATCCCACTTAGTGACCACCGAAATTCTGGTCAAGGATGTGGCCCTTTTTCTTGGTTTTCACTGTTTCACACCGTGTTCTCGGGCCACAAACAAATGGTATTCGCAACCTTTCTTGCCCCCACTCCCAGCACGCTTTGCTCGGTCTCCCGTCTCGGGAGAGGCCCAGCACCGTGAAAGCTTGGACGCTGGCCGTCAAAGCCTGTGGCGTACAGCGATAACGGCAGTTTTGTATGCATGTATGTATATGTAAATGTACGAACGAACGAGCGAAAAAAAAATGAAAACAAAGAAAAACAGAAAACAAAATAAAGAAAAAAGAAAACATAAAGCAATAAAAGAAAACATATTTAAAAAACATCGTCAAAACAATAGCTATGTTTGTAAGAATCTATGTCTGTATGTATGCATGCATGCATCCATGTATGTATGCCTGTATGTATGAACCTAGGATGTATGTGTGTACCTATGTATGCATGTAAATATGGTTGTATCTATGTATTGATGTATTTACGTATGTAGGTGTGTATGTAAGCATGGATGGATGGATGGATGGACGGACGGACGGATGGATGGATGGATGTATTTGAATGTTTGTATGCGTGTATGTATGTAAGCATGGATGGATGGATGGATGGATGGACGGACGGATGGATGGATGGATGGATGTATTTGTATGTATGTACGTTTGTGTGTATGTAAGCGTGGGTGGGTGATCGGATGGATGGACGGATGGATGGATGCATGTGTGTACGTATCTATCTGTGTATGAATGTATGAATGTATGTATGTATGTGAGTATGTATGTATGTATGTATGTCTGTAGGTATCTCTGATATCGGTATCTATGTATGCATTGATGATTGCATGTATCTTGTATGTATGTATCTACGTACGTGTTGTGTATGTATGTGAGGATGCAACTATGTATGTATGTATCTATGTATGCGTCTATGTCTGTATGTATTTATAATTTGCATGTTTTTTATTTGCCATTTACGTTACATATGCGCTTTCTAGAAGCCACCCAAATAGGCCGATACGGGGATTGGTCAAACCATTTCGCGGCTGACCTTCCACGTCGGTCAATCAGTCCGTCTCCTGGCTTTGATCACAGCCTTTTCGACTTTTGGGCTTTAGATTTCTCAGCTCACTACAGGTCAGGCATGCCGATGACCTCAGTGCCCCAGTGTAGGCACGCACGGGACCAGATGGTGCACCTCCGGCATGTTGGCGGCCGTTGGCGCTGATTACCGGCAGGAAGATAAAAACTTGAATGTTGCTGGCTACGACTTTAAGTGCAAGAAGTGCAAAGAAAAAACAAGCTTGGACAAGTCGCGATAGCTCAGGACTGCAAGGTCGTCGTGCTACTGTGTGATGAGTCAGCGATAGTCAGCGTGTTTTTCCTCGTCTGCCGCTGGTCACGCACGCTTTCGACTTGGGCTGCAGGAATCCGCCGACGCCGGTCTAGGATGATGAGTGTGAGCGGGAGCGGAGCGGGCCCGGCGTGTTCCTGACAGGGCCTCCGGTGAGCGGAGGGCGATTCTGTTTCTCCGTCACATTGAGTTGACAACTGTTGAAATTGGGCCGCGACTTAATTTTGGATTATTTTGTATTGTTTTAGGTGCAGTACTTTGTGGACCTTGCAATGTACATTTCGTGGCAGTGCAGGACTTTGTGGATGTGGAAGTGCAGAGTTGGTGGCAGGTGCAGGACTTTGTGGGCCTTGGAGTGCAGATTTCGTGGCCGGCGCAGGACTTTTTGTGGACCTTGAAGTGCAGATTTCGTGGCAGGTGTAGTACTTTGT